CCTATAAAAAAAAGAAACATATCATTACCTTTTGTGGCAATGCAAAGTGTTCTCATGATGGCCCTGTTTCTTTGTTTTGTTTCGTTTTTGTTTTGTTTGGTTGTTTTTTTCTCGTGAATAACAGATGAAGCTGTAACGTTGAGATTAATATATTTGTTTTTCATAGAAGCTGTTGAACTTTCAGTTTGAGCATCTTTGAATTCATGAATGTGGGAAAGAAGGATAAAAACACCTTGAATTCTCTCTAAAAACAAAAAAACAAAAAAAAACACCTGTAGTTGCCAAGTATTTATCAAACCAGTAAGAAGATGAGCTATCAGACACTAAAGCTACTGACAATATTTATCACGCAGTTTCAGGCGTTAGGTTGAGATTTAAGATGCTCCTCGTTCAGCCTTTTGAGTCCATCCAAATCAGAGGAAACAATCTTATTTACTCTCTAACATCAATTATATAAATAAATATATCTATCTATCTAAAAGTAGTTTTAAGAATGAAATGTGATAAGTAGGGCTAGATTGGTTGTAGGAAAAGTCTACAATATGTAGGTGAGACTCCATTTAACAAAACAAAAAAAAAAGAGGTAAGACTTATTATTCACCAAGGTAGATTTGGTCATTAACACAGATATATGTGTTACACTATCATTATCTATTTTGGCTTTTTAAAAGGGGTAGATTACAACAACAAAAAATGACAGTATTCCTTCTGATATCAATGGACCAAATCAAGCACACTGGCAAGCTTTCTTCTATCTCGAATGCATTATAACATATATGGTAATAACATGTATTTTGAAAGTAGGTATGCTTTTGGAGGTTTTTTTTTCATTATAGTTGTGTTCATTGGCCCATCCTCAGCAGCCTCATATCAATGTTGACCTTTGTTCCATACTACTGCAACTTTACCCAATCCTGCTGATAAGCATTTTTTTGTATATCTGTGGTGTCTCGGACTGTAATTTATCGTGTTTTATTGTGAACAATTTTCAGTCAAACTTAAACCCAAAGGATTTTTTTTCTCTCGTCGTCTCTCTTGCTTTTGTTTTACACTGACTGAAAATATATCTGTTCTACGTTGCCTTTGATTCCAATTTATTGCTGGAATATTTGTTTATTTCTTTCAGCGTGACACGTGTCGGCGTAGACTAGCGAGGGGTTTGTGAAAGCCACACGAACCGGAATGGCAGTGATAGGAAGGAACGTGGGTGAACTATTTTGTTGTTTTCTTTCTTGTTATCATTCTTTTTCGCTAATCATATTTTGGTTGTTTGTTTGTTTTACTGAAAGGTGTGGAATGTGCAATATCGCATACTGCAATCTATGCAGGCCAAGAATTGTGGCACTTTATTTTATGTCTATGGGAATTTGTAAGTGTACAGGCAAAATTTACTTGTATTTTTCAGATGTTATATCTTTAATATGAGGCAAAAAGAGTATTACGACTACTAGGATCTCACAAACAATGCAAATGAGAATCTGACTTTTACTTTTTCATATTGCGTGACTGGCAAAATGCTGTTGAGCACCTTAAAGCCAGGTATTAATGGACCTCAAATTTGATTATCTGTCGGAATAAGAATCCAAATTGACCACCAGGGCCTTTTATACTGCTGTTAGATTTACATAAAAAAAAATCTAGCAAATGTGTGGAAGATATTAACATTATCTAATTTTAATGGCCACAAACAAACAATTTTCTGTTTTTTGTGAATTATCGTGGAGAATGAGTCTATTTTTTCTAAACCAAAATGGAGCACGACCACAATTTCCTGCCATATGGTGGTTGAAATGATGCGTGCCTTTTCATAACACGGCTGTTTATGAGAAGGTAGCGAGTCATTTTGCTTTGTTCATATAGCACTGTACAGAAAAAAAATTCTAATTTTATAGGAAAAATCAGGTCTTTATGTAATAGAAACAAGTAATGATATTGAGTTCTCAGGTTTTCTATAACTCTCTGATGTTCTGATTGGATAGATTATCTGTTTTGTTTTGTTTTTCTTGAACAGCTAATGTCAGCTAGCTGCTTCTGTACTTTTTGAGAAGTGTTGTTGTCAAAATCCACTTCGATGTCTTGGCTTCCAGAACAGGGAGCTGCAATATTTCTCCCTTCTTCTGAGTAATGTGTGTACCACATTCAGTATCCACTCCCATCAGTCTTCGGAGAGGCAGGAAGAAGTACAAACAAAGGGATGGGCATCTGACCATTAAGGGAGGCGAAGAGGGAGCGCGGCTACAGCCCGGAAGAGATCCCTGCTGTCTCTGAGCTGATCCATCTGATTATTTCCCATGCTGACACCAGTGAGTGCTCCGTGCCCTCCGGCTTCAGAAGCTCTAACCCCATGGCATGCCCTCAGGAATAGCTACGAGCGGGTAAAAACAAGGCGAGGACAAGAAAAGAAATGGTTCTCCCAAATGGTTACATTGTGTCAGTTGTGGTCCATATTTTCTTTCTTTTGTCTGTGTACATACGATTTGCCCAAAGTAGCATATTCTGACTCAGTGTTCAGAGATTCATGTGAGACCTCATGGAGTTACCTTTGTGATATTACTGATCCCTCATCAGAAACTCAGATTCTTTGGTACTCTCTGAAGTAAAATGCGGAGTCAGCGGTGGTCTTCGTTTGAATTTTCATCTCTTTTTTTTCTTTATAATAAAGGGAGGTTAGATCATAACCTTCTTGTTTGTAAGCTTGTACTTTTTTTCTGTACTCCAATTAATCCTTCATCCCTTGTTTGTAGTAACCATGTCTGTGTTAGCCTCAAGTAATCTTTCATTTTGACAGGTAGGGTAGAGAAACAAGGGATTTGAATTGATCAGCTGTATCCCCTCGGGATAAAGTTTGTGTGGATACTGCAGCTAATTCTGTGAACTGACAGCAAAAAGGACTGTGCTCTGTCTTACTGTCTCATGATGGCGTATTCATCTGTGATGCTGTACAGAGTGGAAACGTCGTGTCTTTACCCTCTCTGAGAGAATGGTATTGTCCGTGTCACTCATACCTGCTTACCTTGCTCCTTAAAATGCAAACAGCATCATTGTTTGTCCTTATATCTCTGTATATTCTGCCGCCTCCATTGTTTTTTCTGTTCAGCTTTGAGAAAGCATTATCATCAAGACACATCCTGACCTACAGACTGTTTCTGTACAAAGCAACATCTTTGTATGCATGTAGTAGTCTGAACAATTATGTGACCACAGAACACTTTGTTATGGTATGTATGTCAACATTTGTGTAGAGCATTGTTCCTCATTACGTCTATTAGCATATGCAGAATAACAAATAAATGTATAACTCCTGCGTTTGTGTGTTTGGTGTTTCCTGCTCTGCATGTGAGATGATGATTGTAGGCCAGGAAAGTAAAAAAGAGGGGGGGAAAAGACTTAAGTTTGAATTAGGACACCAATTAAAATAATATGTTGCATTTGCTGCAAGAAAGCAAATTTGTTTTCCATATACAGAAATGTGGACAACTCAGCAGTATGGCTGGTTGATAAATGATTTATTACAGAACGGAAATGTGTTCCATTCGATGCAATTAATGTAAGTGTGCATTTCCAGGCATGTTCCAATGCAACTAAACAACATTTATAGTGTGTTTAAAGGGAAATGCATTCTCTGTCCAATAATAATTTGCAATGTAAAAACCAGTTAAGCCCAAATAAGGCTCGTGGTGTGGTGGCAGAGGCTTTCACATAGTTTCTTTGCTTCTAGTGTGGCAACAATTTTACTTAGTTTTATATTTTTTCTGTCTTTAACTTTATCTTTATGGCCATTTTTGGTTAGTTTAGGAATATAATTATTGGGTTAGGTTAAATAGTTACACTTTAAGTTTCTGTTAGGTTTGGGGGAAAAGGTCATTTCTGATAAAAAACATACTTACAGTGTTAACTGCATTTGAAGGTTCTCATTCAATTCAATTTTATTTATATAGCACCAAATATAGCACCTTAAAGTGCTTTACATTTTAAGGTAAAGACCCTGCAATGATACAGAGAAAATCCTAACAATCATATGACCCCCTGTGAGCAAGCATTTTGGTGACAGAGGGAAGAGAAAAGTCTCTTCAGGAAGAAACCTCTGGCAGAACCAGGCTTAGGGAGGGGTAGCCATGTACCCCTTGGCTTGTTAGGGGTAAGGGGAGGAAGCTAAGTCACTGATTTGCTGGATTACCAGGTGGATCAGTTAAGGTAATATAATTACATTTTTGGAAAATTCTGAATTTATGACTCAGTGCCTAAAATGGGTCAGAAATAAGAAAGAAATAACACAAATGGCAACAAAATATTTATTACAAATGTATTTTTATTTACAAAAAAAACACACACACACAAAAACACTTTTTTTGTTGCTACAATCAGTTCTTCCAGACCTGCTTCCAAGTTCCATGAAGGGTCCTAATGAAAGAATTGATACAATCAGAAAAGTAAATAAAGTTAAGGCTGTTATAACTATTATAACTGTTATACTCAGCTGATTTCACCTGATACCCTGCACAACCTGTATGGTTCACAGTGAATGATCCAATAAAAAGAAAATATTTCCAAGGCATCCCACCCCCCCCAAAAAATGGCAATGCCAGAGGTCAGAGGGAAACGGCTTGATGGGCTGCAGCAGAAGAAGACCACATCAGGTGCCACTCCTGTCAGCTAAGACGCTACTTCAGCAGGGTAACATGGCAAGTCATAAACCTCAAATCTTAAACATGACAGTGAGTTTTCTGTACTCAAATGTTCTCCACAATACGAAAGGCAAGTTTTCAAAGTTTGACTGCATAAAAGGTTGAGAATTGCTTTATACCTAAAATTAAATACTACCCCACGAGTCTACAAGTTATATCTGAAACTTAATGCAGTGAACAACTTCTTCAACTTGCAGTTGCCTCAAGTTGTTTTGGCACGATCTGAACAAGGTGATATTGATATTTAGTTACTCCTCCTGGACGCCAGAGGGCGCTGCAGTCCGATTAGCGAATTCAAACTGGCTGGTAAATGGTGAGCGCGCGGGTGTTTTTAAAAGAAAAACAGGAGTATTCATAAACATGGCGGCTGAAAATAATAACAGAACCGCTTCAGATGTAAATAACTTCGAAGAAGATGTCAGTTTTTCTCACATTACCGCCGTAGCTACAGGATGGATGTCGGACTTCATGTTTCTAAGTTTGTGTCGAAGTTTTAAGGAGAGCAAACGTGATGAATTCAACGAAACGCTCTCAGCTTTCCAGAGTGAGTGAGGCACCTAGGTTACGTATATTTATGCTAAATTTATGATTATTCCAGTGGTGTTAGATTAGCTTCCTAAGTTTACCATTAGTTAAAGATTAAAGGTTGTTATGGACAAACATAAAAGAACCAAATATCACGTAAAATATGACAGATATAAAGGTGAGATATGTTTAAGGAGTAGACGCCAAAACAGCGTCCGAGGTGAAACTCTTTAAGCCAGGTTTATTTTTATGTATTTTTTTTTCTTAAGACCTGTCATGTTGTTGTTAAATGCAACTGGCACCTTTACTCAGAAAAACGAGAGGAAGAGGAACCTCTCGTTGGTAACTTTAATGTAAATATACGTGCAAGTCTTCACAAAGTTTCTGAAAATGTTGTGCCTAACACAATTTTTTTTTTCATTTATTCTTCTGTTTTTTCCTCAGCCATTCAGAAATTATCTCTTAAGAGAAATGAGAAAGCAAAGATCTGTGACTTCCTGGCAAGAGTCATGCATGGAAAACTGCTGGGTAAGAAAACATGATGCCAGCCTATATTAAAATACACATTAAAAACTATTAAAGATGAGAAAGGGGTTGGAAATCACAGACTAAAAATATATATACCCACCTGTCTCTTCATCAGTGATGCATTAACTCTCTGTGGCCTAGATTTGTGGACATTTGTCAGCTCCACATCCATGATCTAAATCTCCCGTTACATCCACATCCCATCTTGACAGTGTCTACCTGCATTGAGTTTCTGCCATGTACTTACTACTTACTTACTAGATATTTACATTAACAAGGAGCTGAGTAGTTGTACTACTGTTCTACTAAAAAAAAAATTAACAGCAGCAGACTCTTTCTGTCCTTCATCCTAGTTGGCTTCCTGTTTCCTTGTCCTGTAAAACACTGTTTTTCTTCAGATGTGCAGTTTGAAGATGATGCCTCTGTGATGCCTCTGATGTCGGCTGCCAGACTCTGGTCAGACCTCAAAAACACTGTGACAGACGAAAGTTTGTTTAAAAACGTTGCCATCCTTTTGATTGTACAGGTAATAAAGTTTTGTTTTGTTTTTCCTGCCTCAGTATGGGCCTTTGGGGGATTACTTCACTTGTAATTGAGCTACAGACAATATAGGGAAAGAGTTTGTTTCACCTCATATGCATTTTTCAATTTTGAGAGCACAAAGGAGCGTCATGCTTGAGTAAAGGAAACGGTGATTAATAAAACTAGTTAAAAACACGATCCATTGCAGTGCTGGTGGTTTTCCTTCAGCTCTCTTTGGGGGAACTAAACATTTTACTATGTGGGGGGGAAAACACAACACCAGTGCTGAAACTATACAGATGTTTGATTATGAAATGAGCAGGGTTTAAGTCCTGATGTTGGCTGCTTGTATTGATTTTGAGTCTAATGTCATACGTTTACCCTGTGCCTAGTCTGTTGTTGTCTGCTTGGAGAAGGGTGAAAGGTCTTCTGCCTCCTCTGCCCTCAGGTGGTTTGAGAATAACCGTGAACTTCCACAGGTCTGTATGGCAGTTATTCTCCCTTTCCTTTTCAAAATAAAGGTCAATTTTGGAACATTTTAATTATTCAGTAACAGATTTTAACAACTAATGTGTTTTAACAGGGTTTGAGAGTTAAGCTTTCGAAAATAGTTGCACAGGAGGAGACTTACCACCCATTCCTCATGAGCTTCAGCTTCAGTCGCCTGCTAGAGACAGTCCAGTCCTACTTGGATGCCTATTTGGAGAAGAATCCCTCTGACTACCTTCTCAAGGTACAGCACCTGCAGAACCTGTGTTTTATGTCACAGCCAGTATCAGAATGAGATTGGAACACAGGTCTGCTCAACTATGTGAAAAATCACACTCACTACTATCATTGTCAATATTGAGATCACACTTCTGAGAATTTTGAGAATAACCTTTAGATCCTACAGGTTCGTGTCTCAGTTATTTAAAGCTCTACTAGGTCACTTGTGCATTTAAAATCAAGGCCAACATGATGTCCATCCAAACCTTAGTTCACAAGTTGTTTGTCAGGCCTACATACTGAGTTTCTACAAGTCATACAGCACTGTGTTCACTTAAAATATTTGTTTAAAAAACTAGACTAGATATATTTATACGTATTATGTTTCAGGTTCTGGGCTGAATATTTTATTTCCTAAGTTGTAAGTTTAAAATTCACTTTAAACTCTTAGAAATGTTTTGGGGTTTTTTGCAAAAAGTTGTCGACTTCTTTTGGATTTCTGCTTTAGGGAGCACCACAGGGGATCATCTCACCCTTTCTTTAGCATCATCTTTTGTCACACCAACCTTCTGCATATGCTCTTTCACTACATACCTCCATCTCTGCACATGTCGAAACCATCTCAGCCTCGTCTCTCCAAACTTATGTCCAAGCCAAAATGTATGACCCTTTGCACTCTTTGTGAGATGGAAGGTTTTTTTGGGTAAATACACCGATCAGTGGACACTAGTCATCATGGGGACTCTGGGGCTGCATAACAGTTACAGTTTGGCCATCATCAGAAAATCCACAGATCTGTGCTCGCCCACTTTTTTCTGCTTTTGACACGTGGACTTCAAGCTCTGACTGTTCACTTGCTGCCTGATATATCGCACCTCTGGATTGTTGTGAAGAGATAATCACAGTGCCTGTTTTAATGCTGTGGCTTGCTGATGGGTGTACATGAGGTGTCCAAAGTTTCTCAGTAGTTAACAGGCAATGCTTAACAAACAATTTTTTGCAGATATTAATTTCTCCTCTTTTTTTCTCCTTTTGTGCTGAAACTACGCTCTTATCCTCCTGAGTAATGGCGCTCAGACCAACTGAAGGTGCTGATGTGATGTTATCAGTCATAGCTAATTGACAATTTGTCATCAAATTAGTTAGAAGGGCAAACTGCTGCATTCTGTAGAGTCGTCCTCAGGGCCTAACAGACTCGCTTATTCAGGAAAGTTTTATGAATGATTTACGCAAGCCAATGACCTCTTGATGGCTGTACTTGGAAGGGTATGCTAATGAATGCCCTCATTAATTTTGCTTTTCATTACAGCGTTACTTGGACCAGAAAGTTAGTTGTTTTTAGAAGTTTATGAAAGGGTCATATTTATATGCATAAATTAGCAGAGCTAAATGTCTGTGTTATGTCTACATCTCCGATCATCAGGCAGCTTCAAAGATGGTGCAGTCCTCACACAAAACTGAAGGTTTGGAGGACGAGGGGCCTCGGGACAACCCTCTTTCAAAGAAGGCCAGTGATGTCACGGAGGACAGAAAGTAAGTCGTAGTATTTTTGAAAAGCCCCATTTATTTAAACTCGGCTTCTCCTTCATGCTAAATATTCAGCTTTATTTATGTCCTAACAGGAAAGGAAACACCACATGTCACAGGTCAGTAAGAATATGTTTAACACTCACCAGACACATTATTAGGTACACCTCGCTAGTACTGTATTGGAGCTCATTTTGCTTTCTAAACCGCCTCGATGCTTCATGGCACAGATTCAACAAGGTGCTCAAAACATTCCTCAGATATTTGGGTCTATATTGAAATGATAGCATCACACAGTTGCTGCAGATTTGTCAACTGCACATCCATGATATGAATCTCCTGTTCTACCACATCCCAAAGCTGCCCTCTTTGATTGAGATCTGGTGACTGTGGAGGCCATTTCAGTACAGTGAACTCATGTTGTGTTCAAGAAACGAGTTTGAGATGGTCTGAGCTTTGTGGCATGGCACACAGCCATCAGAACATGGGAGTACTGTGGCCATAAAGGGATGGACATATGGCAATATTCAGGCAGCCTGTGGCATTGTAACTATGCTTGCTTGGTACTAACGGCTGATTCAGACTTTTGTGGCCAATGCCTTTGTCGGCATTCGCACTTGTGCACAACGCGTTACAGTTATGTCCCGATCTTTTATGTCCTCTGCCAGCCAAAATGATTCGAGGACTTCTTCTCTTCCTAGGTCCCCTTTTTCCAGTTTCTTTTGGGGTTTTTTGTTTAGTTTTGTTTTCTCCCCAGAGGCTAAAAAAATGTGTCCTTGGTGAAGTTTTTCCACTTCTTTTTACATCCCCTCACATCAGTCTTGATAGTTTAAGGAATCTCCCTCAAGGAATTCAATCTGAGAGTCCATATATTGACGCAGGGATTGATGTTCTCTCACTGATTCATTCGAAAGAAGCAGGAAATGCACAGGAGGAATCAAGAGGCCACTCAAAGTAGTTGGGGTGTGAGTTTCAGAGGGGTTTCTGATTAGTGTACCTGTGACATAGATTTCACATAGAAACATAAATCCTATTTCGGGGACAGGCCAAGAAAATATTCCCTACAGCACCAGCCTGAACCGTGTTTTCATATTGTTTGTGCCAAATTCTGACCCCCACCATCAGGATGTGCAGTGTGCCCTTCTGCTGCTGTCGCGCATCTTCTTTGACGTTTGATGCGCATTCAGAGTTGCTGTCCTGCAGCATATTTTCCCACCAGCTCAAAGCCATGTTTCCATTCTCCCCTAACATCAACAAGGGATTTTCACCCGGAGAACTGTCGCTCACTGGACATTTTCTCTTTTGGGACCATTCTCTAGAGATGGTTGTGAAAATCCCAGTAAATCTGCAGTGTCTGAAGTACTGCCACGTCACATTCAGGGTCACTTAAATTACACATGTAGGTTAAGGAAATAATTGTGTCGCACTGTATTACTCTTCCACAGACCAAAACGGAAACTACTCTCAACCATAAATACAGATGTGTGGAAGCCTGATACATGCAAGAAGCGTCATTTTTCTCCACGTCGAATCTCCAGTAATGGTGGGTTTTAATTTTCTTGTGGCTTTGATTGGTTTCTGAATTTTTCTTTTGAAATTTATTTACCAGCACATCATATTTGAGCCTGAATACAAGTAAATTAATTTCAAACCTTACAGCATCAGAGTTATCCCAGATGACAGAAAATTCACCAGACACAAAAAAGGTACAAAAAACAAGAAAACCCCCTCAAGTAAGTAGAACCAATTAATCCACAAATCAGTTTAAGGAGTTATAAATATTCCTTTAAGCATAGAAAGCAGGAGTTTATGTTTTTTCCTTTTTATCTAGAAATGGACCTCCCAGCTGGACAAGTACCTCAAGGATGGTGTTAAACGTCACGGGCAGGGGAAGTGGTCTCGTATCTTAATGGATTATGACTTTGAAGGGCGCACCGGCACCATGCTCAAAGACCGCTGGAGAGTTCTAATGAGGGCACATAAAGTGGGATAAAGACACACAGAGCTTCTCTAATTCGTACAATGTAGCATTTGACCTGTAAATAAAATCACCTGATTTTTCTATTGATTTTTTTTAATGATTTTAGTTGCATGCTCTGCTATGTTTGCACTGAAACAATTTACCACCAGAGGGTGCTCAAGCACAGAACAGTGATCTGGGTAAGTTGGTCTGCTCTGACTGGGTAAATTTGACAATGTGTAACAATGTGACAATGTGTCAGTAAAACATAATTGTATATTTCACTCAGTCTTTTTTAGCTGACCAGCTAAAGCTGAGTTAGTTCCTTAACCGTGTCAGTGTATGTGCTTTGCTGCTGCTGTGTGCACCAAGTCATACCACCAGAGAGCAATCACAGGAAACGATGTAAAAGTTTTTAGTTTTTTATATTTAAGGCCACGTTTTTTTAGATAAATAAGGTGTAAGACAAGACATTTGGAAAAGAGTACAATAGCATTGTTTTATAACCAAAATAAAAGGAAGTGTGCTTAATGTGTGTGAGGAAAAGGTGGAATGCTGTACAAGTGTCTTTCTATTTTAATGTGTATGAAAATCTGCTTTTTAAAAATACTTTACACTGATCTGGACCATATTAAAAGACATATCTGCAAAATTAGGCCTCCTCTTAGTGTTGATAGAGAGACGATGTGTTGAGGCATGTGGCTGCACACTGATTACTGGTTTTCAGATGTTCACGTGAAATCCATATCAGATGAAGACAAAACTGTGTTGTGGAGGACAGGCGCACCGCTGAGTTTTCTGGATCTTCTTCCAAGTCCCGCTGCACTGCGGGTTCCCCACCGCCTGCCAGTGGAGCACAGTCTCCCTGCAGCACAGTTAAACCACTGGTTTCATACCACTTTATGCACATGGTTTCACATAGTCATTTCACAAGATCTCAGCACTGCTTAGCTTAAGGCAAGGGCACATTAAGTGTTGAAGCAGAAGGTGGACTAATTTTGTAGCTGTTTTAAGTTTTATGAACTGATTTAGATTTTTATGTGAAATCGTGCAGTTAGGGCTTTGTAGGCAGGAACACAATTTCCATAACTTTGGCTCTGTACGGTAGTGCAATAGATTAAAGTGCAATTTCAATGCAGACTTTCAGCTTTAATTCAGCTCCTTTCAGGGTCTCAAATTGGATAAGTGAGCATAATCATAACCAAAATGTTTACCTTTTAGGATTTTGTTAGTTATGGTTGACAGACTGACTGAAAGCCATGCACATTAATGAGTTTCCTCCTCCCTGATGGTTTTCCAGGCCTTTAGTTTTTTTTGCCATTTAGTTTGCTCTTCAGGACTTGAAGTGCATGCTCGATTGGGTTGTGTTCCCTTCTCATTCTGTCTTCCATCTTGCAAGTATTGCTGTATGCTTCAAATAATGAAACATTCTTAGTCTTTTTCTTCTTAATATACATGTTATACTTTCATTAGTCCAAACAAATGCTGTTTCACAACTTGTCTGGTATTGTTAGATGTTTAAATGTGTTTTTCTGCCCCTGGGCAATGGTTATCACTTGGTTAGGTGTTATGAGGGGTGTTCTTTTACCATAGAACGGATCATCTAATCATCTACAATTATTTAATTATCAATGGAAAATCGTGCCTTTTTACTTTGCTTAGCACACCATTGAGTTATTATCTCTTTGTTAAACATTCACCACTTCTGAAGTTCCGCCTCTCTCACAGGTTTTTACCACTGAAATCTGGAAGTTGTGGGTTCAAACCCACAGTTTTCAAATGCAAATGGTACACTTGGAATTTTTCCAGATGTTTTACGTTCAAAATTGCTCAAAAACTAAGCCGAGAAGCCCACATCTGTCCATGAAGCAGCTTTTCAGTCAGATATTTTGGTCCCTAAAGAAAAAGGGGGCTACATAATAAATAACCACCATTCCTAAATGTTCCTTCAGTTTGTAAAAAAATAAGAATAAAAGCTGAGAGTCTGCCCTTTTAGACCACATTCAGCTGTAAATTAAATGTGTTTTGGTAAACAGCCAAACAGTTAAAATATATCTGGACTGGAGGAAAAACACATGTAAAATGGCCGATAACTGCATACTTGTCTGATTCCCGACCGTCTCCCTGGCAGCTGCTGGTATTGTTTCGCATGGCAGGAGGTTCACATGCCACACACACGTTAAAGCCCTCTGTTATGTAGCGCATCCACAGTGTGTGGGGCCGGTTCTCCACAGTGCAGTGGGGCGTCCGTGACTCTAGCTTGAATTCCACACAAAACCTAAAGGGCGACAGGATTAGAGTAATGAAGGTGAACAAAGTAAATCCTGGAATACTGAGACAGTAGAATTCAAACAAAATAAACCCTTAACGCACAGGAGAGGGACATCGAGGCATCATCACTTGGTTAGGCGATATTGGGAATTACTGATCAGTAAAAAAGAAAAACCCACTTTATCCCCAGTAGCAGGGACACAGCTCTAATGAAAGGAATAACAATAATTAAGCATATAGATGCTTTGAACTGCTCGCAATACCGCACCTACTGTCATCCCAACCTTTTGTGTATGCGCTTTTCATGTGACAGCCTTGAGTATTTCATTTCAAAGGATTGTTGGCAGTCTTTCAGCATCGCTATGTTTAATGGTCTGTAGACAGAAGGCCAGGTGGGCAAACACCTACAGGTAGCTCGTTGGTAGGAAAACGTGGAGCTGTTATCTCCTTTCAATTTCATTTGTGATACAAAGCACAAAAAAAGAGGTTTTTCCCCTGAAAGCATTCATGAACCTTTCAACTCTTGAATTCAAAGATTCCTGAGGTATGTGCAGTTTCAGAGAGCGTCTGCAGGCTTTATAGTACCATGATATGAAACCTACCCAGGGTTTAGGGGGTTTCCGTAGCTGTCGTGCTTGGGCCTTCCCTTGGCAAACGCCATGCTGGTGATGAGTGCAGGACCTGATAAGAGAAACCAGATCATCTATGAATTACAAAACAGGCTCAAATGCAAGAAAATATGCATGCAACGTCACACACGCGCACACACAAAAATGCAGATACAGTAAAACCAGAGAGTGTTTATCTGGTTGCATACCTGAATTGAAGCCACAGTGTCTACCCAGGTGGTCTCTGTATTCCCTGCAGCCAGCTCGTTGCTCAAGGCCGGGGCAGGGCTGGCCACTGTTGTGGGGCTGCTGCTCTATGTGACGAACACGGATTCGCACCGAAGGCTGGCAGGGTTTGGCACAGCCGCTCCAAAAGCTCCAGTCGCTCACAACACAGTCCTGAGCTGGATGTTGGCACCAGTATCAAGAGAGAAACGTTATTAGAGGAAATCCTCTGTTGCAGCGAACAATTAAACTGCATTTAAACCAAAGACTCACTCCCTAAGATCTTAGCTTTTGTGCCAGGATTACAATTCCCATCGACAATAAGATATACCATTGTTCTTTAAGGGATAAATAATTATAATATTCCAGTGGAAGAGTGGAATGTGACTCAATATCCAGGAAATAACTTTGGATTAATGAAGCATTGATTGTGACTTGTGGAATTAGTGCTTCCTGCTCTGCTACAAGTATTCTGACAGTGCGCCAAGTGCGCCGCTCAATCAGTGACTGAGTCCTGTGATTTATTTTCTTTGTGCCTCCTCTATGATTCCACTTTGATGCATTAAACATTCAGATTTAGTCACTACTGGCCCATAACACATATTAAATGTGCCTAGCTTGTTTGACTGTAGCTGTTATCGCTACAACTGATTGACAGAACCACATTCTTAAAATATTTGTACTAATTCCATTATGTGGGCCAGCCAGCCCACTGAAATGAGGCTAGGCTCAGAGCTACTGGGGTTATTTGGTGTGCTGATTATTTTTTGTAATGCGGCAGGTGAGACACATGCAAGAAACACAAAATCAGAGATTATGTGAGGTTTGCGCCATGTTAGAAGCTGAAGAAAACAACAAAAGGCACAGAAGAGTTGGAAAGGACTGAAGTTAAATGCACACAATTTGACATGTATGGGAAAATGTGGAACGCATCCACCCATGCCACTTCTCTCATTAGAGGTATGTTGTGTGATAAGCAGCCCACTAATGACCAGATAGTGGTGATAATTTGTCTTGTTTTATCTTCTGGACAACAGATTTAGAAGATAGCAAGAGGTCGGGTATCATAAAGTTAAGGTGCGCACCAAAAAACAAACAGTTCCATTCATCACTCACCTGGACACTCTGTGAAGTAGTCAAAGCAGCAGTCTTTAGTTCTGACGCAGCCTTCATCACAGTAGCATGTGCCGTGCACACGGTCCATCCTCCAGTCAGTGGTCAAACAGTTTGTGTCTCTGCCTCGGCAGCACTTCCCTGAACAACCTCCACTCACCAGGTGGTTCTCACCTAGAGCAAAAACTACCAGCAACCAGCAGGCAAACTCAACAGAGAATCCCATCATGACGGAGTGAGGCCAGAAGTCAACCTCTGAAGTAAGATGCCAGCCTCTTGGTTTCCCCCCAGTCTGTGCTCACACACGTCTCTACCTGTGTTTACTCCTGCTCTGGTTCTGCTTCTTTCATGCTCATGACCGTGAGAGGGAGAGGTTGGAATACCAGCCCAGCCCAACCCAGCCAGGACTGAGCTCTGCCACAGGAGCCCTTGTGACCTGGAATTCCTGTGTCCGTCTCCTGTGTCCAGCCCTTCAGTTTCCCTCCAGAAACAGGTCTGCAATGCAACCTACAGTACAAAACACCCAATTCCAGCACTGGCTTTCGTGTTGTGTGTGCCTGCCTTTCCTCAAAGCTGGTGTCTCTCTCCCTGTTCCCAGCTGAGCACCTCCCTCCAGTCGATCACACTCGGGAGGAGACGATGAGGACAAGGGAGGGGTGAGCTGGTGATGCATGCTTTACCATCCCGCCTCTGTTCTTTCTTTTTTGCCTCTTTCTTACCTGCCTTATTCTTGTTTACCTTTTTTCTGACCCTCTTTATTCAGAATACCTGTGCCCTTCTGCCACCCCAGGTTTCCGAGTCCCAAAAGAAAGGGAGGAATGTGAGAATTTGGCAGGTCTCCAATCAATTGTTCTACTGTATAACACCGTCCCCTTCTCACCTCTCTCCCTTTTTCTCTTTCCCTTTCAAGTTCCTGTAATCCAGCAGAAATCCAAACCGTTCGGGTATGATTTTGTCTGTGTGTTTGTTTTGCTTGTGAGGTTTATGTAGACTAAAGATTAGCTTCACTTGGTCAGAGGCTGTCAAAAAAAATCTACATATCAGCTTCCCCTGAGCTCAGCCATAAATAAGGTAATTGTTTTATGCGTGCAGTTGTTTCCTGCAATTCTGAACATGTGTGCTATTTGTTTTAAACAAAAACAAAGGACTTTTAATGCACTACTCAATTCCTAAATGCTGGAAGCTAATTCCTTCTTGACTTTGTTTCCAGTTTTATGCTTATCTAAGATAACCATCTACTGGTTGTAGGTCATATTATGAAGGCAAACAAGAAAGTGGTATCAGTCTTATCAAGGAAACAAAGAATCATATTCCCCAAAAGATCTCCTTTTACCAATCACTGATAACCTGTTATATACTGTTATAACCTGCATACAACATGAAAACCCATTTCAATACAATGCTAAGAAAACATTATCTGCCCCCTTCCTGATTT